ACTGCATTGAACTTCATTTGGGCCGAATTATACCCTTGGGACTCGTGAATATGACTACTTCAGGATGGTTTGTCATACCCACTATGTACAATCACATACCATTTTCCATGAAGACCCTTCCACCATGTCATGTGGTCGAATAAAAAACACTGCGGAGGGATGGTGTTGAGTTCATGGGACCAAAGTCCATTAGGGACTTGTGGGGACACGGGGAAGAGCTGCGTGCGGCTCACGCCGACAACGCTGCTGCGTACGTCTGCTGCGTACGGGCGGCCGGGACATGCCACCCTTCCGCTAACGCACAGTGATGCTTCTCTTAGATGCTCACATGTTCAGCGCTTCTTAGGAGAAACGCCTAGGGAAACCCGGAGACCAGGGAGTGGTCTCCCAAGTTCCCCGTGTGTGGGTCTGGGGGGAGAGGGTCTCAAAGGTTGAGACCCGGACCCCGGCGGTGTTCGCCGACACTCCAGTGAGACTCTGCTGCTGTTCCCGCCGAGGAGGCGGGTCGAGAGCAGGGTAACACGTGAGAGTCCCCGGGACTAGCCGAGGTACTCCCCGGAGCAGAAAGACACCCCCCAAAAAAGGGGGTGGGGCAAACGCTAGACCCTTTCGCTTATTAGCGTGGGTCCAGCTGTGGCTGTGTATCATAGGGCGGGTGGGAGGTGTCGAAAAAGAGACAAGGACGAGGGGATCCGAGATTAGGGTCGGTACGGGAGAAAGGGTATGGCGGTCGGATCCAGGATGAGGGAGGAGGAAGAATTGTTAGGGGAAGGAGGGGAAACCGTATTAGGTTGCGGCTCTTCCCCTCTACGCACGGACCTCCTGAGGTTCCCAGTCCCGCTGCGCGGCTGGGTGGCCGAGCGCGCAGTCGCTAGGGCGGGACAGTGGGTGAGGACCGGGCTGCGGGACGGCGTCTTCCATGGACACGCCTCCGTTCCCGTTGCACTTCCACTAATGCTCCATCCATTAGGGACTTGTGGGGACACGGGGAAGAGCTGCGTGCGGCTCACGCCGACAACGCTGCTGCGTACGTCTGCTGCGTACGGGCGGCCGGGACATGCCGCCCTTCCGCTAACGCACAGTGATGCTTCTCTTAGATGCTCACATGTTCAGCGCTTCTTAGGAGAAACGCCTAGGGAAACCCGGAGACCAGGGAGTGGTCTCCCAAGTTCCCCGTGTGTGGGTCTGGGGGGAGAGGGTCTCAAAGGTTGAGACCCGGACCCCGGCGGTGTTCGCCGACACTCCAGTGAGACTCTGCTGCTGTTCCCGCCGAGGAGGCGGGTCGAGAGCAGGGTAACACGTGAGAGTCCCGGGACTAGCCGAGGTACTCCCCGGAGCAGAAAGACACCCCCAAAAAAGGGGGTGGGGCAAACGCTAGACCCAAATCTCAAGTTGCCTGGGGGGGCAATTGAGCCTGCGTTGCCTGATGCTGTCCAGCCAGACCCGGAGGGCGAGACTAGAGGAGAGCGGAGTGGGGAGGCAAGATGAATTACACTAAAGGATTAGGTACATGCATCCAACATTCTTCTAGTCTAGCTAAGAGATCATTAGTTTTACTCATCTCTTCCTTAGTGAAGTCGCGAAGGTAGAGTTTGTAGGCATCTGAGGCCCAACGGCCTCTGATGCGGATTTCGCTGATCGGAACACCTAGAGCTACTTGGATTGATGCTCCTCCGACTCGGAAGGAGTGGCCAGATACGCCCTCAAAACCGCAGGCTCCCCAAATCTTGGAAAGAGCACGGGTGGTTTGAGGCTTGGTGAGGTGGACCCTTTCACCTTGGTGGTCGGTGTATCCGAACAAGGAAGTTTCGGCTCCGTCGGCCTCGGCCAACCTTCTTTTGACTGCGAGGACTGGGCAGAGCATGTGTGGGAGCTCCTTGAGGTAGATGATTTGGGATTGGCCAGGATCGGCCGTCTTCGCGCCACGGATGGTGAGCTTTGCAAGGTTCTCCCTTTCCTTGTAGACGAGTTCCACGTCTGTGGTCAGTAGTGAGGCCGTTCTTCTGAGGGGCCCGCTTCCCTCGTTGTAGGTGAGCTCAGCCAAGCGGGCCATTCCCCAGAATGCGACCACGCTCAAATCCAGTAGCGCCTTTTGGAAGGGGTCGCCGTCGATGAGTAATTCAGTCAGCTTCACCAAGTTTTTGATGGTGACCGGTTTCTTCTTAGGTTTTTTCTCCGTTTCCGCGTCGATGTAAGCCGAAGACTTGAGGAAGGTTGCCACTTTCGTCTTGGAGTCTGTAGGGTACACTGCGTTGTGGTACACGTGCCACATTTGTAGCCCGGCGAGGTACTTGCTGAGTGTGTTCGCCGAGATTTCGTGGGTTGTTGAGGATTCGGCGGTCCTGCCTGCCCAGCAGCAGAAGTCGTAGATATCTTGGGCCGTCAGGGGTAGTCGGAAAGTCGGCTTGCCGGTATCCCGGGCGAAGTTCTGATACTTCTTAATCGCGGCGTTATAACTGAGCAGGGTGTTCCACCTGTAGCCCAGGAGGTAGTGTCTCTCTTGGGCGGTGGGTTCTCGGGGCTCGGAGCCGTTGCTTGTTATGGCTGAGACCCTTTTTAAATCTAACATCATGGGTGTATCTCTCTGGGACGGAAAAATTGGATTGCTGGAAGAGTGGTCATCTAGGTACAAAGGGGTAGGCTATTTAACACACAGATTGGAACATTCTATGTTCCAGGTCTAGAGGGACGGTGATAGGGATTTGGAGTTGTGGGTCTCTTCCCCTTCTATCGCCTCTAGATAGTGCATCTGCGACGTTGTCGCCCGATGAAACCCTCCTTGAAACTATGTCTAGTTCCATCTCGACCAGTAGCCTTTGTATGATCTTCCATTCATCGTTCACTGCTTGGTGTTTTGACTTCCGTTTCAGGATGGCGCTTTCGGTTGTAGTATTATCGGTCCACACGATAATGGTTTTCCCGCGTTTCACGCTGAGTTGGGCTAGGGCTATCAGGCCGAGCCTTATTGCGACCGTTTCAAGCCATGCGATATCCCGTTTTGGTTCGGGACCTCTGTCCCAGTCTTTGGTGAGTTGAAATTGGGCCCAGCGGCGGCCTATGGTTATTCCGATGCCGTAGCTAGTCGACGCATCACCCATCCACCCGATTTCAATCGGATCTGGGTCTCGTATCATTCGAGTCTCTTTGAATGAGAGGAGAGTGGTCAGCCACTCCTGTAGGTCGACCCTTGCGCTGGGTGGTAAGGGTAGGTCTTTGGATCTATATACCCATGCGTTCATCCATCGGTATAGACTATTCAGGTAGCATCGGAGTTGTGGGAGGAGGTACGAGACGTGGTTCAGCCTCCCTGCCATCACTTCGACCTGTTTGAAGGAGAACTCGGATCCGATTTGGAGGAACTCCTTTACCTGTTGTACCCGCTGGTACTTCTTGTCGTCGGGCAGGCGTACTGACTTCCTGGTAGCGTTCCAGATGAAACCGATATACTTTTGTTCTTCCTTGAAAGGCGAGTACTTCGTTGAGTTTGTTTTGACCCCGAGGCTTTCTGATCTGGCCACGATGTGGTCCATTTCTACGTTAGAGTCAGGGTGTTTGACAAATAGGTTATCGTCTACCCAGCGGAAGACGGTGACTAGGTCGAACTCGTGGAGCATTAGTTGCTTCCAGGCATCCGCGGGCCTTCCAAAGGAGCCGCATCCTGCTACGCCTCCGAAGGCGATCCGGGTGTCGATGAGGATCCCGCCATTGAAGTCTCTGACCATCAGGTAGGCCCATTGAGATTTCGCCGTTGGGATCTGTCGATAAGCTTTCTCCCAATCGAAAAGGGCTAGGAGGAGGGGGCCAGTTTGCCTCCTAAAGAATTTAGAGACGTTCTCGAAGTCGTCCCAAGTGGTGGCGTAGTCTAGTTTGTCGACGAAGGAGTTGACTGAGGGGGTTAGAGGGTCGTTCCTCGGGAAGGAGAGGTCGTTGATCGGTCTGATCGATCCGTCTCCGTTCACCGCTGCGCCTAGTGGATTTGTCCGGAAGAAGCTAAACTTTCTCATCAGTTGTTCATGAGTGTACGGGCCGAACATTCTGCCCGCTTCTACCTCTTTCTTCATAGACTGTTCTATTTTGTCTTGGGCCAATAGTGCGGATTGGTGATTGGGAGGGGTGAAGTATGGGGTCGCTGGACCTAAGTTGTGGTTCGGGATCCCTTGGTCGAAACCTTCTTTGAAACCCCGTATCACGTCCGAAAACTCTTGGGCGAGGCCTGCTTTCTCGAGCGCTCGTTCCCACTCTCTAACGTTCATCTCACATCTTATGGCATCAGGCCAATCTGGAGTGCCCTCTTTAGCGGGTTCCGCGTGGTGGGGGTCGCTAAAGACTAACGGTAACGACTGGGGCTCTGTGTGGGCCCTTACTTCCCTGCGAGGTGGATTGCACACTTAGTCAGATTTGGCTCAAGGGATAGGGCAAAGTTATTTCATTTCACTCTTATAGCACTACTTTATTTCTCGATTTCTCTTTTTACAATTTTTCGGTGAGAATTGAGGGTAATTTTAAGGGTATTTGGACATGTCCTGGGGATGGCCATTGGTTGTGGGGGTGTGATTATTGAGGAAGAGATAGAGGAATGAGGAATGAGGAAAAGGAAAGGAGATAGAGGAATGAAAAGCGAGGAAAAGGGAGGAGGGTCTAGAAGTGGGAAGGAAGGGGAGGGGGAATAAGGATGGTAAAGGGAACCTACTCGTTGCCGCGTCGTCTGGTAGCTGATCCATGGTTGGGATTGTAATTCCTGCCCTTGTATCCTGAGGCTCTAGGTGGTCTATTCTGATCTGGCTTTGGGGGAAGGGAGTTTGTTGGGGTTTGGGGCAGCGATTGGGAGGTCCCGGCAAGGGGGGCTTTACCGTTGTTGGAGTTGTTGTTCGGCGTGGCCGATGTTGCGGTCTTCGTTCGCTTTTGGCCCGTGTGCGGGTCCCATCCGTATCGGGGGCCGCCGAGTGCGTATGGGTTATCCCTTACTCCGAGTTCGTTGAAGTTTCTGGATTCGGAGTGAGCGTCGTCTGCCGTCTCTGGTTTGAAAAGGGATATATTCGAGAATGATTCTTCTCCGTCCTTCTCAACGCGGAAAGCGAAGGCGTTGTTCCTGATCCTAATGTCATAGCGTAGGGCCACCATGAAACCATGCTTCTTCTGCAGTCGGTCGCAGTTGGCTTTATGTAGGAGGATCCACTCGGCGAGGACCGGGTAGTTGTATCTATCGCGGATCGTCTCGTAAAAGCATTGATGATTGAGCGTCCAATCGGAAAAGGATTGGAGCCATTCATCCGGGACGGCTAGGCCGTGGTAGCGGAGGTTCTTTTCGGCCGAGGACTCTTCAGATTTGGGTCTGTTTTTCGAGTGGTGGGACAAGGCTTCCTCTTGCCAAGTTTTGTTGAAAATTGTTAGGGGGATTGGCCCCTTCAGCTCAAGCAGGTTCTTGTGGAAATAAGGTGTGAAACCTCCGTCATCGTGCGAGTTAGTGTTCGCCCAGATGAACTTGATGCCGCGGACCTGGGTGGTGCCTTCTGACTCAATCGGTCTTTTCCTATTGGTGGGAGATGGGCCTGAGATGGTTTGGGTTGTAGGAGGGGTCGTCTTCTCGTTCGCGGGTTGGGGGGACTCTTTCGACAGCGTGTCGAACATCGCAAAGAATCGATCTGCCTTTGCGTCGTCGCCGTCCTCTTGGGCTTTCACGGCTTTGGCCAGGAGTATCTCTTTGGCCCTGGCGTTCGTTGATCTGGATTGAGGCAGGGTCTCGTTGCCTTCGTCTACAATCTCTGCTTTTTTTTTTTTTTTTTTTTTTTTGGTGTCAGCGCTAGGCTTTCCAATTTGTATTGGGTTGTTTGTTTCGCTTACCTATAGGGTTCTTTAGCGTTGCCTTGGTTACCGAGCTCTGGAGAGCTGGATCCGGTTCTCCCGCCTTGGTAGACGTAGTTTCTTTCCCTTTGGGTGCGGGGTTGAGACTGCCTGTCGGTCTATTCTCTTTGTTTAATGGATGGGCTACGGACTTGGGGGTGGAGGAGTTGGGGAGAGGGATTTGGCTGGTTTGTTGACCAGGCAATGGAGATTGGTTCGCTTGTTGAGAGGAGTCTTTTACTCGATCGCTAAGGTACTGGATGGAGTTTGGGTTTGACATCGTAAGGATGGAAAGAGGGAGGTAGACGGGAGTACGGTTTGCTAGTGTATGAGAACGAGTGCCGAATAAAGGGAAAACCGATTGGATATAATTGTCGAAAAAGAGACAAGGACGAGGGGATCCGAGATTAGGGTCGGTACGGGAGAAAGGGTATGGCGGTCGGATCCAGGATGAGGGAGGAGGAAGAATTGTTAGGGGAAGGAGGGGAAACCGTATTAGGTTGCGGCTCTTCCCCTCTACGCACAGACCTCCTGAGGTTCCCAGTCCCGCTGCGCGGCTGGGTGGCCGAGCGCGCAGTCGCTAGGGCGGGACAGTGGGTGAGGACCGGGCTGCGGGACGGCGTCTTCCATGGACACGCCTCCGTTCCCGTTGCACTTCCACTAATGCTCCAGGAAAAATATGAACAGCAATATGCAACTCTTGCAAGGCGCAGCAGGAGAGTGTACACCACAGGTTGAGTTTTGGAAATGGCAGTCCGTCGGCTTGACCCCGCGGTCAAGCACTGGTCGGGCTCAACCCCTTTTACGCAATCCCGCCGGATTTGTCTGGCCAACGTCAATTTTGGGTAGGAAAGCTGTAACTCCAACGTTGGCTTGACCTCAGGGTCCAAAAGTCCCACCGTCGGCTTGACCCCATGTCTGAAAATGAAGAAAAAAAACTTTTTTTTTGATAGTTTTTCTACACCCTTTTCATGCCAAAAAACTTGTGGCCACCTCAAGAAAAAAAAAAAAAAAAAAAAACTTGGAGAAAAAAAACTCAAAGACAAAAATCCTATATGCAATTTGAAATTTTCTATCTATTTGTATGCAAAACCAAGGCAGAGTGCTATAATATGATTGGCATAGTTGGATAAGCTCTCCAATCCTCAGCATGCAACCGTGCAGTGAGCTCGAGATGCTGTGAGCCTACACCACGGGTTGAGTTTTGGAAATGGCACTCCGTCGGCTTGACCCCGCGGTCAAGCACCGGTCAGCCTTAACCTCTTTTACGCAATCCCGCCGGATTGGTCTGGCCAACGTCAATTTTGGGCAGAAATGCCGCAATTCCAACGTTGGCTTGACCTCAGGGTCAAAAAGTCCCAACGTCGGCTTGACCCCATGTCTGAAAATGAAGGAAAAAAAAAACTTTTTTCCCACATTTTCTCTCCACCCTTCTCATGTCCAAAAAATTGTGGCCACCTCAAGAAAAAAAAAAAAAAAAAAAACCTTGGAGAAAAAAAACTAGGAGAAAAAAACTTCAAGAAAAAAAAATCTTATAGGTCATTTGGAAGTTTACATCTATTTATATGCAAAACCGAGACAAATTGGTATGACATTGTGGTTGCCATAGTTGGATAGGCCCTGCTGTCACATCATCATGGATTGAGTGCAAGATGGTGTGAGTAGAGGTTGGGAGTTCAAGCCCTAAGATAAGATACTTTTTTTGCTGCAGCCAGTTGCTGCGCAGCAACTGTCAAGATGACATAATCATGTCAAGCCGCCAGAAGCTTGCCTTGCAACCGCTGGCAAGCCGACGTTGAAGGGTCAAGCCGACCGCGGGGGATTACGCCCCCCGCTATGAAACACCCCAAGATTTTGGTCGGGGCGGCATGGGTCAAGCTGACGACACCGCTTCCGTCAAGCACTCGTCCCCCAGAACCCGTGGTGTAGGTTGGGTGTTCAAGCCCCAAGCTGATTTTTTTGTTCTGCGGCGCGCTGCTGGGCAGCCACTGTCAAAATGAAAAAATGCCGTCAAGCCGCTGCAAGCTTGCCAGGCAACCGCTGGCAAGCCGACGTTGAAGGGTCAAGCCGACCGCGGGGTATTACACCCCCCGCTATGAAGCACCCCAAAATTTTGGTCGGAGCGGCATGGGTCAAGCTGACGGAACCGCTTCTGTCAAGCACTCGTCCACCAGAACCCGTGGTGTAACAGACAAAACAAAGGATCTAGAGATGGTCGCGGATAATCCGTTGCGGATATCCATTATCCGCTGGCGGATACCCGCCAGTGCCAACGGATACCCGCCAGCGGGTGCGGATTCGGGTGCGGATGCCCCCTTCCCCCTGAAATCCTGGCGGATATCCGGGTATCCCAAGGGATATCCACCCATACAGGAGGCCTTGGGAGGGCCCCAGGCTGTGAGAAACAAAAGAAAAAATGGAAAAAAGGAAAAACAAAAGAAAAAATGGGGCCTTAACAAAAAAACATGGTTTTTGCCGCGCGCACTGCGCAGCAGACACATTTTTTAATTAATTTTGTACTGCTTATTTTTTATTATTTTTTGAAATTTTAAATTTATTTCCTATGTTTTAAAGTGCGTAGAATTCAATGGTAGAAAGCATTTTCCATAAAAATTAATGGTTCTTTTTGAATAATGCAATTAGACACAATTTTTCAATTAATTTTTGACAGATTAATAATTAATTTTCATTATTTTTTCCCTTACTTTAAGAGGTGTGAAATTTGATGGTAAAGTGTACCCCATGTATTGCATAATTAAATTATACAAATTATGATAATTTGTACCGTATACCAGACTTATTTGTATGCAAAGTTGATATAACCATCCATTTTCAAAAAATAATGAAATTTAAGCCTGTAAAAATTTACATGAGTTAGCTGCAAGAAACAAAAAAAAGGCAAAGGAAAAAGGAATTAGATTTTTTCCATATTTTTGGGAGGGTCACAGGCTGTGAGCAACAAAAGAAAAAAATAAAATGAAATGAAATGAAATAAAAGAAAAGAAAAGAAAAAATAAATAAAGGGGCTTGGAAAAACGACTGCTAAAAATTAGTCGACGACTCCCGTTTCGGTCGGGAGGTCGTCGAACGGGAGTCGTTCTTCCAATTCCCCCAAAAAATAGGGGAGTCGTCGTCCTAATTTCAATGGCGATTTTTTATTTTTTTTTATTAAAAAAACGGGAGTCGCCCGCCTAAAGGGCGGGAGTCGGCGCCCCAATTTAGCCAATTTATTTTTATTTTTTTTCATTAAAAAAAACGGGAGTCGCCCGCCTAAATGGTGGGAGTCGGCGCCCCAATTTATACAACTAATCTAATTTTTTTTTATTAA